TCCCGTCTGACACGGCCCCTGCCCCGCAGGCTCAAGACCATCGGGCTGGTGATCCGCAGCACTCAGGGGGCCGAGGAGCTGCTCCGCAAGTACGAGCAGCAGCTGAAGGACGTGCAGGCGGTGCCGGCTGACCTGGCCGAGCTGGAGGCCAGCAAGGCTGAGCTCAAGGTACCGGGGGGCTCCGGGGGTGCCAAGGGGAGCCGGGGGGGGAGTGGCTGGGGACATCGTGGCCAGCCCTGACCGCTGCCCATCCTCCCCAGCGGCTGCGGGCGGAGGCCGAGAGCCACCAGCCCTTCTTCAGCACGCTGGAGACCGACCTCGGCAAGGCCAAGGACGTCAACGAGCGCATGGTGCGCGGGCACAGCGAGCGCGACGTGGACCTGGAGCGTTACCGGGAGCGGGTCCAGCAGCTGCTGGAGCGCTGGCACGCCGTGCTGGGCCAGGCCGACCTGCGCCAGCGCGAGCTGGACCAGCTGGGCCGCCAGCTGGGCTACTACCGGCAGAGCTGCGACGCCCTGCGCCAGTGGATCCGCGACGCCCGGCAGCGCCAGGAGGGAATCCAGGCCGTGCCCATCACCGACAGCCGGGCTGTGAGGGAGCAGCTGCTGCAGGAGAAGGTTGTGCTGGCCCTGGGGCACGGGGGGAGCCTGGGTGTTCACCAGTGGGGCAAGGGGGGAGCCTGGGTATCCCCAGTGGGCAAGGGGGGGAGCCTGGGTATCCCCAGTGGGGCACAGGGGGAGCCTGGGTATCCCCAGTGGGGCACGGGGGGAGCCTGGGTATTCACCAGTGGGGCACAGGGGGAGCCTGGGTATTCACCAGTGGGGCACAGGGGGCTCCTGGGTATCCCCAGTGGGCAAGGGGGGGAGCCTGGGTATCCCCAGAGGGGCACGGGGGGCTCCTGGGTATCCCCAGTGGGGCAAGGGGGACTCCTGGGTATCCCCAGTGGGCAAGGGGGAGAGCCTGGGCATCCCCAGTAGGATGAGGGGTACTGTTGGGCATCCCCAGTGGGCAAGGGGAGCTCCTGGGCATTCTCCAATGGGGCAAGAGTGGCTCCTGGGCATCCCCAGCAGGGTGAGGGGTGCTCTTGGGCATCCCCAGTGGGGCAGGGGTGCTCCTGAGCATTCACCAGGAGGGTGAGGGGTGAGCCTGGGCGTTCACAATGGGGCAAGGGATGCTCCTGGGCTATTCTCAGCAGGGTGAGGGGTGTGCCTGGCTATCCAAAATAGACAAGGGATGTACCTGGGCAACCCCAGCACGGTGAGGGGCTCTCCTGGGCATCCCCAATGGGTCAAGGGGTGCTCCTGTCCATGCCCAGCACAGTGAGGGGTGCTCCCGGCCATCCCCAGTGGGCGAGTGATGCTCCTGGCCACCCCGGCCATGGCGGGGTGAGCTGTGCTCTTGGCTGGCCGTGGGCTGCCTGGGCTCACCCCCCCCACCCCGTGTCTCCCCAGAAACTGCTGGAGGAGTGTGAGCAGCACAAGGACAAGGTGGAGGAGTGCCAGCGCTACGCCAAGCAGTACATCGACGCCATCAAGGTGTGCCCACAGCCTGGGGGCCGGGCTTGGAGGGGGGCTGGCGAGGCAGCACGGTGTCCTGCGGGGCTGGGGTCACAGCACGGTGGCCAGGGGGCTCGTGGCTCGTCGCAGAGCTGTGATCACTCTGTCCTGGGCAGGACTACGAGCTGCAGCTCGTCAGCTTCAAGGCACAGGTGGAGCCCATGGCGTCGCCGGCCAAGAAGCCCAAAGTGCAGTCGGCATCAGACAGCATCATCCAGGAGGTGAGGGGGGATCTCCCTGCCCCTGGGGGGGCTCTCCCTGCCCCAGAGGGGGGGTCTCCTTGCCCCTTGGGGGGGTCTCCCTGCCCCAGAGTGGGGGTCTCCCTGCCCCCTGGGAGGGTCTCCCTGCCCCTCGGGGGCGTCTCCTTGCCCCTGGGGATGTCTCCCTGCCCCAAAAGGGGTCTCCCTGCCCCTGGGGGGGCTCTCCCTGCCCCAGAGTGGGGGTCTCCCTGCCACTGGGAGGGGTCTCCTTGCCCCTGAGGGGGCCTCCCTGCCCCTGGGGGAGGTCTCCCTTCCCCAGAGGGGTCTCCCTGCCCCAAAGGGGGTCTCCCTGCCCCGGGTGGGGTGTCCTTGTCCCTGGCCCGGGATGTCCTGCAGCCCCTTGGCTGCCCCTGTCCCTGGCCTGGGATGTCCTGCAGCCCCTGGGGACTGGCTGCTCACTGAAGGGGTGGCCCTGGGGGTGCAGCCCCATGCCTGCTGGGGTGCTGGTGGGCCGTGGGCGAGCTCCCCTGTCTCCTGCTGACCCCCTGTCTCCACAGTACGTGGACCTGCGGACGCAGTTCAGTGAGCTGACCACGCTCACCACCCAGTACATCAAGTTCATCACCGAGACGCTGCGGCGGCTGGAGGACGAGGAGGTAGGAGGGGGAGCAGGGCAGCATGGCCGGCTGTGTGCCCAAAGGAACGCGGCTCACGGGGCCTGAACTGGCCCCATGACTAACACTGGCCCCATGACTAACACTGGCCCCATGACTAACACTGGCCCATGGCCGTGGCTCCAGCCCCGTCACTGACACTGGCCCATGGCTCCAGCCCCATCACTGACACTGGCCCGTGGCTCCAGCCCCATCACTGACACTGGCCCATGGC